AGCCGCCTCTCCATGGCAAACAGTGCTGACCTAAGTGTCAGTAGTGGCATCACCACATGGTATGGTACCAGGTGGCAGCTTCCTCTCAAGGAGGATATTGCTTATCTTATTTGGCTTACTACTTTTCTCTATATCATCCCTTTTTTCCACATTTTTCACCTGTTCCATTACTCCCATTATGGGTTTCTGATGGTCTTTTCTTTCTCTTAGCAATAGAGTCAATTATTTCTTATCCTCACAGTTCTCTTTCACCAGGCCACAGAGAGGCAGCTTCTAATCACCTCATCTAGAGTTTGGTATTTTGTTTTTATTATCCACTACACAGAAGACACTCAGTCAACATGTATTCCAATGGGTGAATGTTTATTTAAAAGGATTTATCCAGCCATAACACTTTTACTTTCAAAAAACAGAATAATCTCTAATGTTTTAAACACATATTGTAGTCAGTTAGAACTAAAGTTAAAGGAAAAAAGGATAAATACCCTCCTCTTCTCCCCAGCCAGAGACTGAGACTGGAGGCTAAAGTTTCTTCAATTAGTCAGCCACCATTTTCATCCCTTAAGTCATTTAAGAATGACTTGACTAAGAGTTCTAGCTTTGGTAGAGAAGTGGGTTCTGGGGTTTGGGGAGTTTAGTGCTTTTTCCCTGGGGAAGAAATGTCACCTACATAATCAGGAAAAACCAGCAGTTGTCCTAAGCTGAGGCTACCTTATACAAAACAGACTTGTAGCATGGGTCTGGATCCCTAATTAAATTTTGGGGAATGACTACTCATTTGCAAAGATTAGAAGTATGAGGGTAGGCCGAAAGATCTCAGGATTCCCCAGACACCCAGTCTGCTGCCTAAAAATATTAGTGTAACTGGAAGACTTGGGTGGAGATAATTAAACAACATGAGGTCCTCACAGATTAAAATAAAAAGGAACATTTGTCTAAGTTGCATCTGGACCTGAATCATGGGGGTTACAGAGCTATATGCATCCAGCCCTTTGGGAAGTCCAGCAAAAAAGTTGTCCCTTCAGAGCCTAAAGCAAAAGTAGAAGGAACAGGCCTTTTCTAATAGAAAGATATAGGAATCCTCCCGTCCTCAGACTCTGCAGCTTATTAGGCACCAGGCCTCAGGCACAAAAGAACAAGTCCATCTGGGCCTTTTACCCTTCACTCAGCTCCAAACAAGGGTGGTAGTTGAAATGTGAGTGGGAGAGAAGGGGTCATGAGACCCAGTCATTAGCACCTGAATTGCATCTCTTTTTAAACCAGAAATCCCAAGAACAGAAAGAAGTTACAGCAATGACAGAGGGGCTATTCTTCCACCAAATTAAATAGAAGACTTAGTGGAGGTGGGGAAGGGGGAAGGGTTGTTTTTTGTTCTTGTTTTTGTTTTTCTTTAACATCAGGACATTAATCACTCAGGCCACAGGGAGGGCTTATGATCAACGGAGCGTTCACAGTCACCTTCTCTTCATTCATCTTGCTTCCGTTTTGGCTTTTTGGGGTTCCTGGACCGACTCTTGGCTTTGCAAAGAGGGCATATAGGTGCATTTCTGTGAATTTGTTGGTGACATGACAAACAGGCCTGGTGGGGGTACACAGGATAAATGAAGTTAGTGGATGGATTCTTCTAAGCAATGACTGAGACTGTTGATACTCAGAGGTCCAGAAAACAATTGAGATTTTCCATGAGGAAGGAACAGTTATCAATAAGGTTCAAGTAGGAATCAGTGCTCTTGGAAGCCATAGAACACTGGAGTAAAGGACAAGGCAGAGAGGGATGTTGGAAAAAATGTGTGTAAGGCTTGGAAATAAAATAAGAATTGCACAGATATTCAGCATTATAGTTGAATATGTGTCTAACAGACTATCCATGTACATTTAATTTTCCTGGGCAAAATGAGTCAGAAAGCATTTTCTGTAAAGGACAAATTAGTAAATATTTAGACTTTTAAAAATATTTGTTATCATTATTATTATTGCTATCATTATTGTGTGTGTGTGTGTGTGTGTATGTGTGCAAGTGTGGGCATACACACATGTGGATGTCAAGAGAATAACTTTGGGGAGTCTTTACTCCCCCAGGACAACTTTTGGGAGTTGGTTCTGTCCTTCCACCATGGGATCCAGGGATCAAACTCAGATCATAAGACTTATATGGCAAGCACTTTTATCTGCTGAACCATCTGGCAGCCCATAAATATTTTAGACTTTTCACATTAAGTGGTCTCTGTTACAACTACTCAACTCTATTGTATGTTAAGATGCAATCTAAAAACTAGCAGCCATGCATGTGTATCAGTGCATCTCCAACAAAAGTGCATAACAAGTCAGACTCTGCCTATAGGTTATAGTTTATCAAACAGCTACCACAACAGAATGTCTCTCCATTTGGCTCTTTACTATGGACCAGACTTTCTGACGTGGTATTAATAAGCTATAAATAGTTTCTGCATGGTAGGGATATAAATTGATTCCATTGAAAAGAAAAGGTAACCATAAAGGTCACAGATTTATTCCCTATAGGACATAAATCATTTCAGTGTCAAAATTTCCAAATTTATTTCAACATTCCCTTCTTTTGTTAACCATGTAAACATTTGTTCCTTAATGTACCTGAAACCTGCCTTGTGATTCTCCTGGCTCTGTCACTAATGACACATGTCACTATATATTTGTATAAAGGCTGTATTTCTAACTTTTAGAAAACTGTACTTCAGCAGTGCCTGTCAAGATCCCTGTATTCTTATCTCTCTAGGAAAATGCAGGAAGAAAAGTAATGGATCTAACACAGCACCCTTTCCTCTATGTTCCATTCAAAGGCTGTTTAAGGAAGAACCCAAGTTAACTAAGCTACGGCCTCAGACTCTATGGTGGGATACTTTGCATCCTCCACATCCCTATCTAGCTCACTCACCTTCATAGGTGGAGGCTGCTGCCTGAAAGTGGCCGTCTGCCTTGTGTCTTGCTTCCTGGCCACTTGGAGTTGCTGGGCAGCAGCAGCAGCAGCAGCCAGAGATTCAGGTATGGGGGGCTCTTGAGGCTCGGTCTGCCATTCTGCTTTCTGCTTTTCAAAGTAACTATGGGGATGAAAGACAGTGGCTAGATCATTTTGAAAGCAAGAAGAAAATTGCCTTTCTTAAAGTCTCTGTCACAGAACAAAAAGTTGTACTCTGACCCACTCTAAAAGGTACTAAACTCACCACAGCACAAGGCTCTTTTCCCTTGATACCAGACACATTAGCTAGGAATGGTAGATATTTTGTCTCTTGACAACAGACCCAGATGATCAAGAAATATCAGGGCCAGCAAGGTCCTCGAAAGATGTTTAAACCTATCCTCTATTCCACTGTCACTTGAAATGTTCTTATTAAGTATTTACATGCCTATGTTTATATAGTTCTAGGAACAGAAAACTCACTACTTTCACAGAAAACCAGCTGTGCTTTTAGGAAATGGCTCCTTCTGTTGCCCTAAACTGTCTGCCTTTAAAGTGACCCTAGTTCTTAATTCTAGGTCGGGATTAAAGACTGGGCTAGGTCCTGGAGAACATGAAAGCTTAACCTCTTTATTGTTTTCAAAGCATTGTGGATACTCCTATAGACTCCTACGTGGCCTCCTAACAATAAAAGAACTGCTGGAGGTATCAACAGTCCTGATTTTAAGTTATACCACAAAGCTATAGTAATAAAAACAGCATGGTACTTTCATAAAAATAAACACATTAATCAATGGAAAAGAAGTGAGCACCTGGATATAAGTTCTTGCATCTATGGCAACTTGATTTTTGAAGAAAAAAAGAAGGCAAAAATTGCACACTGGACAAAAGGCAGCATCTTTATTTGACAAGTAGTGGTAGTCAAACTAGATAGCTATCTGTAAAAGAATGAAATTAGACACCTAACTCTCACTTTGCATAAAACTCAACTGTAAACTGATAAAGATCTCAAAATAAGACTTGATACCCTGACGCTGATAGAGGAGATAGTAGAGTATACGCTGGAACTTACAGGCACAGAAAAGGACTTTCTGAACATGTCCTTTCTTTCTATCATGTGGGTGTCAGGGATTGAACTCAGGTCCTCAGGCTTGGTGGCAAGTGTCTTTATCAGCTGAGCCATGCTGCTGGTCCATAGGTGAAATCTTTTAAAAAGTATTTTTTAATTTTTATTTTATGTGTATGCATGTATTGCCTGCGTGTATATAAGTACACCTGTAGTGTGCAATGTTCACAGAGATCAGAAGACGGCATCAGACACTCTGGAACTGGAGTTACAGACAGTTACTAGCTGCCATATATGTACTTGGATTTGAACCTGGGTTTTCTGCAAAAATAGTCAGTACTCTTAACTGTGAGTCATCTCTCCAGCCCCAGGTAAAATTCTTATATTGTGAAAATCACATAAAGACCATTTTTCTTATACAACACAAAAGAAAGACCTTCCCAGAGCATGCAATTATTACCATTGACAGGCTTAAGAAGAGAACTATATATGCTTAAAGGCTAGGCTTTGTGTGTATATTCATGGCTACTCCCTCCCCCACACACTTCTCTCTCCCTCCCTACCTTCCTGCCTCCTCCCCCCTCTCTCCGTTATATTGTGGGGTCAAAGGGCATGCAGCTTACTCCAAAGAGAGTTTCTCTTCCTCTTCACATAAGTCAGGAAGCCTCTGCAAGCCCAAAGTCATGCGCAGGGCATCCACATGTTCCTTCAGTGGCTTATACTCATCATGAAGTCGCCGGGTAGACTCTAGAAGCTTGTTTAAGTCATTCTCAGACTGTTTAATGGTGTTTTCCATCTGAACAATAGAGTAGGGTAAAAACAGAAAAGATCCCAAAGTTCTCAAACAAGCTTTTTAACTGAATAGATACAGTAGACTCCAGAGGCTGACCTGTCTACATTCAAGTTCTCAGTCTGCATGTCCTTTCTACATGACTCTGCTCAAGCCTCAATGTTTTCATCTCTATAACAGTAAAAGTTTAATAGTGCATATTTCATGCAGTCTTAGTGAAGATTCAGTGATCAAATTCATACAGAGTGAAACCTCAAGAAATGGTAGTTTTTAAATAATGGCATCTCATGTCTGAAATGGCCTTTATAGTCCATTGAGTTCACCCTCCCCCACCATTTTAGAGGTTGGTAAGTTGAAGTCCAGGGAAAAGAAAGTATTTCCTCAGGGAAATACTTCTTTGGGACAAAACCTACATAAAAATTGAAGATTTGCATCTCTCAGGACTGTGACTTTTTTCCTAGGACAATTGTTCCCAAACTGTGGTTGACGCATCGTCATCAGCAGGAGCAGCAGCAGTAGAGCAACAGCAGCATTCGGAAACAGAATTATATTCTCAGGCCCTAACCTCACATACGGAACTAGAAACTCGAGAGTGAAGTCTAACAGTTTGAATTCTAATAGGCTTTCCAGGTGACCCTGATACTCTAGCCTGAGATATACTGGCTAGATTCTCAGTCCCTTGGTTACAAACATGTTAGCTGGTAGCAGAGCTGGCAGTGAGCCATAAGACCCAACATATCTTGTTCTTTAACTCAGAAAATCCCAAGGACCTATTGTGCAGGCCTCACTTATATTTTCTTTAAGATGCTAGGCCTGAGAATATCTAGAAATAAGTAATCACACAAAAATGAGTTTCTCAGGGCTGTAGAGATGGCTCAGCAGATAAGAACACTGTTCTTTCAGAAGACCTGGATTTGAATCCCAGCACCCATATGGCAGCTAACTACTGTCCGTAACTCCAGTCCCAGGGGATCTGACAGCCTCTTCTGTCCTCCACAGGCATTGCATGACATGGGTGCACTTACCTACATTCAGGCAATACACGCATACACATAAAATTAAAAAATAATAATAAATAAAATTTTAAAAAACTGAGTTTCTCAAGAATAGAAACAGCTCCATCACAAGTGAATTTTAAAAAAAGATACTGTCATATGCTCTGAGGACTGGAAAGGACCACACAGGTAAATACCTCCAACTTCCTTCCTGTTAAAGGAATCAATACAGTAGTCCAGAATTTCCATGAATAATTCCTCAAAGAGGAATGCTTGTCATCTTAGCATTCTATTTCCCATGATCCAAGAGGTTTCAAAGAAGAGTCTAATGAGAGAGCCCCACTTTGTTAAGCAGACAGAGATATTTGTTTGGTCTGTTGAGTGCTTCAGCTATTCCCAAGAGGCAGGCACCTGATCCACCAGCCCTCAGTTACTTCTTAACATGTAAACTTCCAAAATGAGAGGATGTCAGGACTAAAAGATTCCTTGGAAGATGGTAAGTCTTTTTCAGAGCACAGGGAGTAAAAAACTTGATTCAGAAATAAAGGACTTGTTCAGTGATGGACCCAGAGCGGGTCTTAGAATTCCTGGACTTTTCTACTCTATGATTGGTTGATACCTGCTCCAACAGACTGGCTACAGCCACTTCTCAAGGAAAAGTCACAGCATTCCCTATGACCTCTTCTCAATGGGCCCAGAGAGAGGCTCCAGGCAATCTGCCACATACCACATTGATGTCAGCATGGATCAGTCGGAGTTCCTCCACATGGGCCATCTTCTCCTGTAGCAGGAGGTCCATTTCCTGTTTGTATTCTTTCAAGTGCCTCTCTTCTGACTCCAGTGCCTCAAACTCAGCCTTCAAACGGGCCTTGATCTTCTCCATCTGCAGGGTCTTGTTCCTGAAATTTCTCAAGAGTAGGAAACAGGCCAGTAGGAGAATGAAGGAAGATAGAGATGGGAAACAGAGTTAGGACTTTCTTTCCAACCAATCTTTATAAATCCTCTTCTTGAAGTCAGAGACAGCCAGAAACCACCTCAAGGAAAGATAGCACATGCTTTTTAAAGACAAAAGCTCAGTAGGCCCCAAATAAAGTTAACTTTCTTGTCTCTGGACATTTGCAAAAGGGATTTAAGGGAGAACATCAGTGTGTGGTATTTACTGGATGTGGGCCAGAGATGTTGAAGAGCCTCTTAATGCAAAGGAAAGTCTCATACCACAATGTACTCTCCTCAAAGACAGCAACAGGGACATTTTGAGGAATTTTAGAGAGGTGATATCCAGTAAACTTTCTGCAGTGACTGAAATATTTTCCATGTGTTGTTTCCAAAACAATAGCACATGTATCTGCTAACAAGTGAAATGTACCTGCTATACTTGAGGGACTTAATTATAAATTTTATTAAGTTTTAATGAGTTTAACCTTATAAAACACAAGTGGTAAATCACTTTCAGATAATACAGCATAGCTAAATAAATTTATTTGGCTAAAATAAAATAAGATATCTTTGTTAAGTTGTTTATGTTAGGTAAAGTGATGCAAAAGTAACTATCATACCTATACATTATACTCTACTCTACATTACCTTTGAGGCAGGCTACCAGGCTTATGAAGACCTCTAGTATGGCTGTTGACCTGCCTTATAGAAGATAGTGATTTTTATTGGTGACTATTTATTTATACCTCTTCCCATCTAGACTTTTATTCTCCTCCTCTTCTAGATTATATACAGAACATCTGAAACTTGGCCTACCTCTACTCCAGTTTTAGAGATGGGAAACTAACATTCAGAGTAAGTGGCATCTCATCCTGATTCATATAACCACTTAAGGCAGTCTTGGGCCAAGAATCCATTTCTGTAGGTAGAGACATATCATGAGAGAAGTATACACTTTAAACCTGGTTATACATCCTGGTTCTGCCCTTTACTATGTTTTTCCTTTGGATAATAATAACAATTACAATTATATTTGGCAATAGTTAATGAGTGCCTACTAAGTACCAAACATAGAAGGTTTACATGTATGCATATATTCATTGAACAGCTTTCCTCTGTCAGTGAGAATAACGAGACAGAGGAGAGCAGTCCAAGCAGTAAGATCAGCTTGAAAGCTGCAGAGCAGAAAGTCATGACACATCAAGGGAACAAGAAAAAAAAAAGGTCAGTATGGATAGATCATCTACTGATGGGGGAGAGGGGCCTAGATGAATCTAGGGAGGTTAGCAGATATCAGAACACACAGCTAGCCTTTTATCCTCAGAGGAAGAGGGACTCTTAAAATTTTAAGCATCAGAAAAGTGACATGATCTGATTATCTTACTTCTCTCAGCTTTGTGTTCCTCAGTAGTAACATGTAAATAACAACACCTACTTTACAGGTCATGTAGTAAGGATTAAATGAGCTAACGTGTAAACATCCCAAGTTATGTGGCACATGATGAGCAGGGAACAAATGATAGTGTTCTTGTCTCTCCCAACTCTGCCTAATACTTCAGCTATGATTATTTCCTTCACCACAGTGGTCCAGACTTTGTTACAAAGAACTTACAATATGCAGAATATGTTATATATGTGCAGGCAGGCATATTGGTTACTAAGACTAAAATAGACATTACTATCATACACTGCCTTACAGGCTAAATATAAATAATAGCAGACTATGAAGCCAAGAAAAGCCTTCCTAATTTATAATCAATTAAATGAAGATGACACCAGAAATGTATTTCCCACTGGTTCTCAGTAGAACTCAGCCTAGACCTACCCCTGCTTGGGGAAGCATCTTTTATCTACAACTCCCCAATCCATGTCTATTGATTTCAGAACACCAACTGGCAAGGCAAGAGACATTTCAATTTCCAGATTAAATTAAAAAAAAAAACCTAAGGTAGAGTCACAGTTAAGTGCTGCATGGACTTGAATAAATAAAAGGCACGAAGCCTCCCTTAAAGCTCCAGTAGCTCAGTGGCATTTTCTCTCTCTCTGGGGAGAAGGCCTGTGATCAGAAAGATGGCATCCTCATACTCTGGCTATGCACACACTATAGCTGCAATGCCTACATTCGTTCAATGTGCTTTGAAGCATTGTAATTGCTACTATAGCAAGGATAAAATGTTTCACATTTGGGGGTAATTTTAAATGAGCTTTTGTTTTGAATTATGATGTCATCTTTTTAATTACAGCTTCTATACATTTGTTGCTGATATATAAAATATAATTGACTTGGTATCCTTTAACTTCATTGAGCTAATTCACTACGTCTAGGAGATTTCATTAAAATTTGGGATGTAAAAAGATTCCTTGAGATGTCTTATGTAGATAATTATACCACGTGCAAATAAATACAATTTTACATATTTTTCTTTTTATATTTATTTTTATTTTGTGTATGCATGTATTGCCTACGTGTAGGTAAGTGCATCCGTGTCATGCAATGCCTGCGGAGGTCAGAGAAGGCTGTTGGATCCTCTGGGACTGGAGTTGCGGACAGTTGTTAGCTGCCATGTGGGTGCTGTGATTCGAACCCTGGTCTTATGCAAGAACAACCAGTGTTCTTAACTGCTGAGCCATCTCTCCAGCCCCAACTTTACATATTTTTCACCAGCATAGCTTTTACTTACTTTCTTGCCTAGAATTTCTAGGGAAATACTGAATATCAGTGTTGAGTGTGGGTATCCTTGCTTTTGTCACTCTTTGAGGGATAGCATTCATTATTTCACAATTAAGTATAACATAGGGTATGCATCAATACCATTATTAAACTGAAGAACTTCCCCTCTATACCTAGTTTTCTATATTTTCATCATAAATGTGTGGTGAATTCTGTCAAGTGTTTTTACATGAATCAATTAACATATCCAGTGATTTTTTTTTCTTCGAAACTTTCATTTGCTACAATGCCATCTGCTTGTTTTTCTATTTCCTGACTTTTTATCTGCATAAGAAGACCATCTTTATTCACCACTTCTCTCCACCTTTCCAACTTCTGGAAGCTGGAAGCTCTTGTTCTATAGCTCAGGATGTGGTGTAAGTATCAATTAACTGACACCTCGAGGCTCACATTTGGCAGGACTCTCATATTTATGTATACAACGAAATAAGGTTTTTCTGTTAATCCAGTTTGTCAGTTTAATTTGTAGTCCAGTCAAAGACTTTAAAAGGATTGAGTCTAGTCCTTTAAAAAAGACTAATTTTTAACCTTCAGCAGCAGCAGAAAGGGTGAGGTTAAAGACTTCTTCAAACACTAAAATAGCTCTAACCTCTTTTATAAAGTTTACCTCATGTATTATTCACTCATTAAGCTATTTATTGGACACATCTTTTATACAACATCAGCTATTAAGTCTGAAAAAAATTATAGAGGCTCATAAAGTTTACAAAAAGGAGCTAGATGCTCATATAAATACGGTTTAAGATGAACAAAACAACTAGAAAATAAAGCTTGTCAGGGTTGAGGGTATAGCTCAGTGGGAGGTAGCGTGCTTGCCTAGCATGCATGAAACCCCGTGTTCAGTACCCAGCACTGCAAAAATGATACTTAAGTTTGCTGATGTGAGAGGTAGTAATTTGTCAGTACCAAATCATTACCATTCGGGAAATACTGTCTATGGCTGTATCCCCTGAATACACCCCATGTCTTAAGTGACAAGTGATCTAGCATTTTCATCCTGTCACCGCTCCCCATAATCTAATGTAGGACCCCACAGCAAATATGACAAAGGGCAGAGGCATCAGGGCTGGTGGAACGAGTAGTTGTAGATAATTACCCACACAGACTTGTTTAGACCATTTGCTGTTGGTGCTGCCTCAGTTTACCTGAAGTTACTACATACCTAACAGGCTACAAATAACTTGCTTGAAAAGGAAGACTCTGCCTTCCAAGTCTTGCCTGAACCTTTAGTCCTTCCAAATGGGACTGGAAAGGGGCAAATAGAGAACAATGTGAGCGTGGCCCTAGCAGGGACTGCAAGCACATGAAGAGGCCATGAAAATCTATCCATATAAATCAACCCAAATGATCTAAATTTACACAAGGGTAAAGCTTTCCACCTAAGTACCCAAATGTCAAACCAATTCCTACTGTCTCCTTGGTCCCATAAAATTCAAGACACTACTATACAAGAACCTGTATTCATTCCAGTAATTAGCTGAAAACAGTTTAAGAGGATTTTGGATTCAAAGCCATCAGAGTACCAATCTAAAAATGATTTTTGTAAACATGTTTTGATAAAGGCCATAGAAACTCTTGCCACATTGTCCAAATGCCTAATGGAAAGACTTCTGATGAGGCCAAACAGGTCACATAAACCAAAAGAATATCTTAGAAATAAAGCCAATATGACTAAATCCAAAACAGACCACATGAAGTACCTCATGTACAATACAAACCTAGTTTAATAAATAAAGGAAACAGGTGCCCGTACTCTGGGAGAATATTTAGTTCCTGATGCCTTGTTCATAGCCTTCTCTGAGACTCCACTGCCACTTCCACCTGGGCAAGTCTATTGGTGAGACCATGGAGTTTGTAGCCGTCTTGTCGTACTAATGCCACTGTGCCCGGCTGTACCCCAACACCAACTGGCACATGACAGATGAGTTCATGCTCATGAGGGTCGTATTTGTCACCGATGGGTGTCATCTTTTCTAGGCCATGCTTGGAAAACACGCTTTTCAGCTTTGCCTCTAAAAGAGACAGCCCACGGAAGACTTTCTCTAGAGTGAGCTTGTGGTCTTCAGCTTCTGCTCCTTCTGAAAAGCACTCAGTGGTCTTCTCCAAAACGTCGGCCACCTCCACCAAGTCCTTACAGAAGCTCTGGATTCCAAATATTTTGGCGTCCTCCACACATCTCTGGGTTCGTCTCCTTATGTTTTCACAATCAGCTACAGCTCTCTGGTATCTCAG